GGTGACAAGGGCCCAAGTACCTGGACCATCTTCTGTTGCTTAGGGCAGCCAGGACATGAACAATTACCTATATGGGGAAGAAGCTTTTCCCACTATGCCATGATTCCGGCCCCCAAGAGGAAATACATATATATAGAGATAGCAAGAGCGCATTGTTGTGTCTTATTAACAACTGTGTCTCCAACACAAGCATAATTATTTATACATTTCTAATGTTCGTGTTTATTGATCAAAGGATATCTGCTAACAAGGGTTGTTGTGATAAATACATGAGAAAAAGAAAAACCTGTGGAAGTTCCTAACATGGATCCTGAGAGTATGCTCTGCTCGGGGCCCTGTGCCAGGTGCTGGCAACATTCCTGGGAATGAACAAAACAGTCTCCCTACTCTTTGGAAACTTGAATCTGGAGGAGCTACACACATTTTGTGAGTGAAGACAGAACACATCAGGAGGCTCAGAGTTAGGTGTTCAGTGGATGCTTGATTGTACTTAATACTTGACAAAGCACTTTCACAGACAAAGGCCTTAGGTCACAGTAAAGGATAAGAAGGTCTGTTGGGGTGGTTTCACCATGTGTGACAAAGGTTGCTATAATTTGAATCTTTGGGTCCCTTCCAAAATTCATATTGCAACCTGACTCCCATTGCAACATCATTAAGGGCTGGGGCTTTTAGCAGGTGATGGGGTGGTGAGTATCTCATTGTGGCTTTTATTTGCATTTTCCTGATAATGACCCTTGAGCATTGTTTCTAATGTGTTTGTGGTCATTTGTAATTTTGCCTTTGAAAATGTCTCTTCAAGCTGTGCCTGGGTTGAAACATCTAACAGTAAGAACCAGATGGGGTTGAAGGCCAGTCAGGAAAAGCCACTGTCCCTGCTAGGACAGGAGGAGAACTGAGTAGGGCTGGCTCATGGACCCCCTGGTATGCACGAAATCTGGCACTGGGAGAGTTTCTGATGGAGGAGCCTGGACAACTTCTCTGGCAGGACACAGTCCCTGCAGGTAAGCGCAAGAAGCACAATAGGGAACAACCCAGAACAGGCAATGGAAATTATTCCACTGGCATACAATTGGCAGGGGTCGGGGGCAGACCAGGCTGAACCTATTCACATCACCCACTGGCGAATCTGAGCACCAGAACAGAGTGTGAATCGAGCCAGGTTCAGTTGTGACATATACCAGTACACATTAAGGAATGCCAAGGTGAGATGAGCCATACCAGATGTGGTTGAGGCACCCAAACAGCACATGTGAAAATCAGGGGGAGGAGGCAAAGCTGACAGGGGAATGTGGGCTCCCCTGCTGGACAACTACTTCCATTGGAAAGCCTGAAATGGGATGGGGGCAGATCAGACTAGGCAGGGCTATAACACCTGTGGGCCTCATGTGAGCTGGATAAGGGAAGGGCCACAGAGTGCTGACTGTTCCAACTGGTGCAAGCAAAAATTCAAATGGGTGAGGGGTGTTTGGGCTTAGCCGCAGCATTAGCTGGCAGAGGCTGGCACTGGGAGCTAATTCTGTCAAGTCAAATGCCAGAACAACCTGGAGAGTGCATAATCTGGGAGTGGGAGTGCCTTAGTAGGGAAATAGTGGGCTCCTCCCTCAGGGCTACCACTCTCACTGGAGAGCACAAAAACCAGGTCAGGGGCAGGGGTGGCTAGACAGAAAGGCACCTGCCAGTAGGTGTATGGGCTGGATAATAGGTTGGTTGGGTTGAACTAGGCTTCAATGCGTATTGACATATATGAGAGCTAAATGGGACGTGGGACAGACTGGGCAAGCCTGTGATACATACTGGCAAGCATGGGAACCAGGGTAGGGTGCAGAACTGGTGGGGGTTATGGGGAGTCACCCCAACTAGGCTGCTGCTCCCACTGGTTTGCGTGAGGACTGAGTATGAAGTGGGTAGAACACCCATTGGTTCACGAGGAAGACAGGGCTGGAAACAGAATGGACCCAGCAATCGCAACAACCAGCATGTGCATAAGCTGATTGGGGCCACCGACGGTGCTGTACTAGCAAACTCGCTCAAGAATCAGATCTGGGATCATCTCAGATGAAGTTTCTTTGGAGAGCCCTCCAACTGCACTGCTGATCTTAGAACCCCAATCATGAAGAGACTATTAGCTAGTGGATTCTGAATAGGTTTCATTGCGATTGAAACTGTGAGATTGGCAGCAATCCAGAACTGATGAACTATCAAAACTGTTTGAGCAGGACCCTTGGAGCGCGCCTCATGTTGGGGATCGGGGATGGGTGGGAGGTTGGGTGGGGCTTTTCCCTTTGTTTCTCCCCTGACCCCAGATACAGGGCAAAATGATAATATTAGTGTGGAAACAATGGTATTACCCACTTTCACCCTGTAGCCCTTGACGCTTTGTACCCTAATCAACTAAGATTATTAAAATAAATAAATTTAAAAAAAGAAAGAAAATGTCTCTTCAGACCTTCTGCTCAATTCCTAACTGAATTGTTTTCCTTGTTGTTAAAATTTCTTGAGCTCCTTATATATTCTGGATATTAACCCCTTATCAGATGCATGATTGAGAAGAGTTCTCCCATTGTGATGGCTGTCTCTTCACTGTTGTTTTCTTTGCTGGCCAGAGTCTGGCTTGACGCAATCCCACTTGTCTTTGCTTTCAATGCCCATGCATTTAGGGTCCTATTCAAAGCTCATGGTGCCAATGTCTTGGAGTGTTGCCCTATACTTTTCTCTGGTAGTTTCACAGTTTCAGGTCTTCCCTCTAGATTCTTGATCCATTTTCAATTGATTTTTTGCATAGGATATATGGTTTAAAACTTGCTCATGTGGAAATTCAGTTCTCTCACCACCATTTATGGAGTAGACTGTCCTTTCAACAGCGAATGGTTTCACACATTCATCAAAGGTGCACTCCTTGTAAATGTGTGCATTTATTTCTGAATTTTTATTCTGTTTTATTAAACATGTGTCTTCTTATGCCAGTACCATGTGTTTTGGCTAGAATAGCCCTGTGGTATTTCTTCAGCTGTAGTAGTTTGCAATGCCTTTGAATTTGTTTTTATTGTTTAAGATTGTTTGGGTTATTTGGGGTCTTTTGTAAATATTTGCATGTAAGTTTTATACAATGTTTCCATTGTTCCATATAAATTATTTATAATTATGTGAATATAGTTAGTATCTTGATAAATATATGATTTCTACTTTCTTGAATCTATAAATTGCTTTGGGCAGTATGAGCGTTTCTTCTGAGTCGTTTTTGGCTATCATTCATTACCCTTCCTTTTTTATAGGTAATGAATTCTGATGATCCAATGCAAGTTAACTTGCTAATGTTAATTCACTCACAAATATTTGTCGAGCACTTTATATGGTCAACAGCCTATATCTGATATTGCCAGGGCAAGATGGGCTGTGTCAACAACCACCCTACGCATACAAAGCCAAGTTCTCCTAGTGGGAAGCTCTATGGCAACCAGGTGAAACCGGGATTTGCTAGGAGAGGGCTCTGCATTGAGCTCAGTCATCTGACTTCAGAGACCTCATCTATAAGAAAAGCTAGCAGGGGGTCCGGTGCAGTGGCCTAACGGCTAGAGTTCTTGCCCGGCATGCGTCAGAATCCCATGTGGGTGCCAGTTCTAATCCTGGCGGCCCCACTTCCCATTCAACTCCCTGCTTGTGGCCTGGGAAAACAGTCAAGGATGGCCCAGGGGGCACCTTGGGATCCTATACCTGTGTGGGAGACCTGGAGGAAGCTCCTGGCTCCTGGCTTTGGATGGCTCAGCTTCAGCCCTTGTGGCTACTTGGGGAGTGAATCATTAGACGGAAGATCTTCCTCTCTGTCTATCTGTAGATCTGATTTTCCAATGAAAAAAAAATAAATCTTAAGAAAAAAAAGTTAACACTTCTTGGACCCTTTGCTTTCCAGGATTAACTTCTCAGGGTTTTGTTTGTTTGTTTGTTGTTGTTGGTGTCCTGATTGTTTTTTCTCTTTAAAGGTGTGGCAGTTAGGAGCCTAGTGGCTGCATTCTCTCTGCTGCTGGGTTCAGTGTCATCCGGAGAGACTGGGTGCATGCATTTTGTGTTGGGAAGATTCGGTTTTTTCCTGTGATGAGCGCATGTGCAACCTCCTCTTGTCTGTGCACTTGAGCTGCCTTGTCGGCCCTGCTCAGTGGGAGGCCAGCAGGAGCTGTTGCTCATAGCTCGTGACGCACTTGGTGATGCACTGGCTGGTTTGTGTAACCCTCAGAATGACCCTGAAGCAGGGCCATCTTATCTGCAGGTTGTGGAAATGTGCATCCTCTGGGAATAATTTCTCCAAGGTCTTAAGAGATCATAAGCGGTAGACCTTGGTTCTGAACGCTGTCATTCCTGGCCTTGAAGCGCAGCTTGGACCCACAGCCTATCAACCAAGATAAAGTATATTTTAAAAATCATCTTTCTGGCATTTGTTAAAAGGCCTTTTAGAAATCTTAGCTTATTCAGACATCTTCCAGTAAGTCTCTCAGACTTCATGGATTTAACTAGCAGCTCCCTGCTGGTCAAGGCCTAGGATTACAATCTACCTTCTCCAGCAGCCCTAAATATGTTCATAACTGGGATGACTTACAACTCCGGAGTCGTAATTCTTTTTCTGTCTACAGTATCTGCTGGCAGTCTAAAATTTCCTACCACCCTTGACAATGTCCAGAAATCATCCTTTTGCCGTAATTTGAACACACAGGCGACACATTTATTTTTCCAACAGTGGGGGAGAGTGGGAAGAACAGGACAGAGTGTGTGAGGCACTGGAGGTTGCTCTTCATCTGTCAGATGTTCCGCTATCTTTTAAATTTATTGTCCCTACGTAGCAATTCTGAAAACTCAAGGACCGGGCACCTTGTCACTAGGTAAAGCGAGGAAAAAACTTGGCTCCGCCCCTTTAAAAGCCACCCCGATCCGACGGCGTAGTAGCGGGCCGGGGGTGGGGCTGCGCTCGCGGCGCTCCCGGGTTTATAAGTCACCCGGAAGGCAAGGCTCAGTCCTCGGTGTACCGCTCGGAGCACCGCGTCGCCGGCCGCTCCCGACCCTCCCTCGGCAGCCGTCCGTCGGCGTTCGCGAACCTTCTCGCGGCCGCCGCATCCGGTAGTTACCCGGCCGCGGGCTATGGCCACCGCGGGGTGCGCTCGGCTCCTGCGCGCCGTCTCGGCGCCCCTCGGCGGCCCGGCCCGCCGCTGGCTGCTGCTGGCCGGATCTCGCACGGGAGCCGGCGGCCGGCCGGGGAGCTGGAGGCCGGGGGCCAGCGCCGAGCCGGGCCTGGGCGGCCGGGGCGCGGGAGCGAGGCGGCTCCTCAGCCAGTCGGCGCCGGCGCGGAGCAGGTGAGGCGCGGGTGCCGCGGCGCGTGCGCGGGAGGCTGACGGGGCCCCGGGGCCGGCGGCTGCGGCCGCCCTGGGTGGGCCGTCCCCGGAGCGCCGAGCGCCCGCCTCTCGCTCCGCCTTCCGCGGGCTCTCAGCGGCCGAGCAGGGCCTTCGGGGGCCCCGTTTGTTGACTGCCCGGAGTTGCCTCCCAAAGCCTCGCGTGTCGAGTCGGAGCCTGGAACCCCGGGCCCCGCGTTCCCAGCTTCCCCTCCGGAAGCCGGCGCTTTGCTGCCGCGGGCTCTTGGTGTCCCCTGCCCCGAGCTAACCCTTGCTCTGCCTGCGACACGCAGTGACCTTCAAGAGATGCTCCGTGTTGAAGGCGGGGCCTGACACTCGTGCCAGCCGTTCGTTTCCGGGATATTCTGTGCCCGGTTGTTGTCCACGGGGTGTCCATGTAGCGTGCGAAGAGTAGTGGCAAAGCAGTGTTGTCTTACCTCTTGTTAACAAATCCTGCAAAAACAAATCCTGGTTTCCATTATTTGTCAGCGGAGGATTACAATAGTATAATCTTCATAAGGATTTTTTTTTTCCCCAGGAAAATAAATAATACAGGTGATACAGGGTGTCAGATGGTGAGGGCCCCAAAGCGCGTGTCAGCGGCAGCAACAGCTGAGGCTCCCTGTCCCAAGCAAGGGGCTTGTGTTCAATATTGAAAGAGGTGTGAGGACAAGTTCCCAGCGTGTGGTGAACTTATATTTTCCTGTGCATAGATGTGGACATCTATTATTGTTCTCAGTGAGCTGTGCTCTCACCTGCCATGGATGAGGAGAGATACAGATTGCTGACTTGTTTCAGAGTAGCCCCCTGCAGGAGGTTTGTCATGCAAATCTTTGAACCACGCTTTGACCCCGGATTAGGGTAGCTGGAAGCTAGAGCAGCAGGGCCAGCCTGTGGGGTGGGGGGAGCTGCTTTTCTGTAACGGTTCCAGGAAGCCAGCCTAGAACACACTCATCTTTTGTCTCTTAGTCCTGTTAGGTAGTGGTACTCAGTGGATTTTTCCTTGCCTTATTTCTGAGGGAGATCATGGAGAAGGCAGGCTGGCTTTCTCTGTCCCTGTTTTCTCTGCACGTCCTTGCCTTTTTATCTCTGGTCCTTGTTTTCTACACTGGATGCATTCTTGAAAACTTATGTGTAACGTCAGGATGTCTGTGGAACGTGTTTGTGTTCCTAGCGTGGATGGGAACGTGGGTGCTTTTGTAGAGGGGCTGTAGGTCCCCCGGTGCTGCTGCTCGGATTTGAATAGGTCAGATTGTTTCAAAGGGCAGCACATCTGTAACATTTCTGCTCATTGGCAGGGCGGCCAGTGATGACCTCGTTCTGTGTGTTAAGACCTTCATGCTACCTCTAGGTTTTATAGTTGTTATCAACAATTTGTACTGTCCCAGCACAGTAGCTACTGGTAACATACAGCTGTTGAAGCTTAAGATAAGTATAGTTTAAAAAAAAAAAAGGAAGACTGAGTTTCCAAGTTACAGTAGCCACATTTCAGGTACTCATAGCTGCGTGAGTCTAGGTGAGCTGTGGTATTGGATATTGCAAGTAGAGAATAGCTCCCTTATTATACAGTGAATAATGGACTCGTGCTGCAAGCTGTGGTTCTGAATTTGAAATCTCAACATTTAAACAGCATTTAGATTGAAAAAATACAGGGCACCAGTTTTGTAGGCAGTGGTTTTGCCCTCTATGCCCCAAATGCGAGCTCCCTCTTTTAATTCTTTACATTAAAATTAATTTGGCCTTTAATTTACAGCTTGGAGAAGTCCCTGTTTAGCTCCAAGTTAGCCCTAAGTGGCTCCCCATGATTGTCTGACGAGAGTATGCTAGCGCCCGGCCTGGCATCTGTGTTTTTTGGGATTCTGGGATTCTGTACTCTTTCAACTGTGAAATTACCTTTCCCTTTGCTTCCTCTCCTGTCCCTTAGTACATGTGGTTAACTCTGTGCAGTTCATTAAAATAAGGCTGTATGCCTTTAATATATGGCAGCATGTCAGGCTTCTGGGGAAAAGGGCTTTGAGTTTAAACAAAGGTATTAGGCAATGTTTGTTGAATTTTATGTATCAGTTCTTCTGTGTCCATTGTCAAAAGATAGATGCTGTCTTGGTTTTTTGCCAAAGAAGAGGCTAACATGAAAGAAGTTTCCTATTTCTTTGTGTAGGCTTAGCCCTAGTGTGCTCCAGAACAGTCCTGATGGCTCACGCCTTCAGCAGTGTGTGCAAGCTACAGACCCCTTTCTGTTGTGTTCCCTGCAGCTTTAGCTACCAGGGACTTGGTGAACTCAAAACTCTAGACTTACCTGGTGGTTGGTGGTTGGACTATGGTTCAATCTGGTTTGGGGACATTCTTAGTGTTTCTATTAAATCAAACACGTATAAACTTAAACTTATTCCCCTCTTCCCCAAAACTTCTTGTCCTCTTCCCCTAACCCTAGCCTGAACTTACCAAGCTTAAGTGTCAACATTATTTATTTTCTTTTCCTCCATTTACCTTGTGTAAGTATTTCCCCGTACTGTTGCTTCTGCCTCCCGAGTATGTCTTAAGTCTGTGTCTTGTAGACATGGCTGGCCAGGATCTATCATCTGGTGTTTCCCCTAGTGCATATGAGTTGGAAGTGGAGCTTGATTGCAGTTATCACAAAGGGTGTGTTGGAGCTGATGCAAGGCAATAGCAGGCTAATCCGCTGCCTCCAAGTGCTGGCATCCTATATAGGCACCGGTTTTCGTTTTGGCTGCTCTACTCCTAATCCAGCTGTTTGCTTTTGGCCTTGGAGGGCAGTGGAGGATGGCCATGGTCCTTAGGCCCCTGCACCCATGTTGGAGGCCGGGAAGAATCTCGTGTCTGCCACCTTCAGGTCGGCTGAGCTCTGCAGCCATCTAGGTAGTGAGCCAGTGATTGCAAGATCTCTGTCTTTTTCTATAAAAATATGCCTTTCAAATAAAAATAAATAAGCCTTTAAAACCAACCAACCAACCAACCAACCAGCCAAGTGGTGTCTTAACTGCTGTTGGAAATGCTCATTCCAGGATTTGCTTCCTTTTTTTATCCCCCAATGATTGATTTATTTGAAAGGCAGAATTATAGAGAGTAAGTGAGGGAGAGATAGGGATAGAAGGAAAGAAACAGAGAGAGAGAGATTGATCTGAAATCTGTTGGTTCACTCTCTAAAAGGCTGCAACAGCTGGGTCTCGGTTAGGCAGTGCCAGGCAAAGTCGGGAACATGGAACTCGCATAGGTGGCAAGGGCCCAGACACACCTCTTCTGCTGTGTTCCCAGGGACTTTAGCAGGGAGCGGCATCAGAAGTGAGGTAGCTGGGACTTGAACTCGCAGTTGTATGGGTTGCTCGCATTATAAGTGGCAATTTAGCCCATGTGCCACAATACTGGTCCCAAAATTTGCTTTCTTTTTCTTTCCTTTCTTCTTTTCCCTTTGTCTTCTTTTTCTAAAGATGTATTTATTTTTCTTGGAAAGGCAGACATACAGAGACGGGGAGAGAGAGAAAGATTTTGTGACTGTCTGCTGGCTCATTCCCCAAGTGGCTCAATGGCTGGAGCTGAGCCAGTCCGAAGCCAGGAGTCTGAAACCTCTTCCTGGTGTCCCAGGCAGGTGCAAGGTCCCAAGGCCTTGGGCCGTTCTCAGCTGCTTTCCCAGGCCACAGGCAGGGAGCTGGATGGGAAGTGGAGCTGCCGGGATTAGAACTGGTGTCCACATGGGATCCCAGCCACCACCGTGCTGGGCCCGAGACATTGTTTTTCAGAGGGCTTTCTGAGAGTGAAGTAGACTTAAGGAGCAATGATAATTACAGGATTTGTTTCATGTACCTGTAGCTGCTGGGGTGGTCCCCACTGCACTGTCAGGTGGGCTTTCCAGGTGATAGTTAGCATTTACTTTAAGGTGATAGACGTTACCACCTAGCTGGTATGCAGATTGACATGGCTTTCGTTTGCGGGATCTTCTTCCAAAGCAAGCCGTGGTAAGAAAAGAATTGTAAAAGCATGCTCATGTATATTCCTGCAGGTAAAAATTACTTTAAGTCACGTTTCAAAATCACTGAAAGTACTAAAGGATTGTTTCCTCTTGCAGCTCAGAAGATAAAGTAACAGTTAACTTTATAAACCGTGATGGTGAAACACTAACAGCCAAAGGCAAAGTTGGCGACTCTCTGCTAGATGTTGTCATTGAAAATAATCTAGATATTGATGGTTTTGGTGAGTATGGAACATTGTTTGAAATTCCTGTGAAACTGCTGAATAGTTTTCAGATACTAAAATTCAGAATGTTTTAATGTCAAAATCTTCCTTAACAGAATAATAGAATGACCCTGTTTTCCTAGCTATATTGACTTTCTTTTCATTACTTAATTTGAGAAAAATAGTGTGCATGTTGTCAACTGCAGGTTCAGTCTCCAGATGCCCACAGTGGTCAGTTGGCCCACTGCAGCCTGCTGAGTGTGTGGCGGGAGGCCAGCTGCTTGAGCCGTCACTGCTCATTCCTCAGGTGTGCCTTTGTAGGGGGCCGGAGCAGGAGCCAGGTACTCCAACTGGGCTAGGAGCACCCTGACCGGCATTAGCGGCTAGCCCATCTTCTGCTCCTTTGGACGCCTCGGAAGCCATGTGGCCAGAGATCTGTAGCTTCAGAACTTTCCTGTTTCCCTGTGTGATGCAGAACCTAGTAGGAGTGTAGCTGAAAAACACCAGGTTGGGTATACTAAATGCCTTGTTGCAGGGGGTGTTATTATATCTTGATTATTAACTCACCTGGGAAGGAATGGTAACATACCTTGACTTGAGTATTTTATCCAGAAAGTTTTCATTTTGAGGCTTCCAACCATATTTCTCAAACAAGTGCACAAAGTCTATGTCTCATCAATTAAAAAATTAATTAAAAAATTTAAATTAAAAAACTCAATTTTTTTTACAATTTCTTTTTTTGTTTTTTAATTTTATTATTGATAATATTTACATAGTTGATCAACATGGGAAGGGTCAGGGATCAGGGGAGAGTGGGTGAGACCAATGCTTACACATTTTCCTTTTTTTCTTCTTGTATGCGGGGAAGAGGAGAAACCACTGCATTATCCGGGGGATGGGAAGCTGCTACCTGATGTCATCTCAAGGTCCCCATTGTGGAGCATTTTCTGAGGGTTCTTCCTTTGTGGTTTTGATGGTTCTGATGCTACTGATATCGCCGCTGCAAAGATGAGGAAATCCTTCCCAGGTTGATTGGTTGTCATAGTCCACCTCCAAGTCTCCATTGGCCTAGGAATTTTCATTAAACTTTACTGGGGTAGTTAATTAGTTTGTTTTGTCCTCTGTCCTGAGCAAACCAGTGGGTACTATGGCCCAGCCCAGCCCTGCCCAGTATATACTCAGCCCTTATGCACCACAGGGGGAGTTGCAGCCCAGTCAAAGTGACCCCCCAATAACCTCCACTGGGCCAGCCCCCAGCTCTGGTTTGTTTTCCTACCAGCATGTGCAGTGGACTGGTCTGGTCTGCCACACCTCATTGAGACCTCGTAAACTTCACTGGGCATTGAAGCCTAACTCAGCCCAGCCAACTCCACCCTCCAGAATATATTCTGGACAGTGAGTGCCACCGCCTGTCCAGCCAGGCCTGCCCCCAGTCCTGGTTCCCATGGTCACTAGTGGGAGTTCCTGTCCATCAGAGAGGAGCCCAGAACCTCTCCACTAGACCCACTCCCCCCCGGGATATTGCACTCTCCAGGTGGTTCTGCAGCTTAGCTCAACAGGATTTACCCCTAGTCACAGCACTTGCCAGCTGATGCTGCGGCAAAACCCAACCCGCCTGCCCGTATTCTGGCTCAAGCCTGCATCAGTGGATACAATCAGATACCCCAGCATGGCTCTCCCCCAACCCTGTTCACATGCAGGCCTATAGGTGTTGTAACCCTGCCCAGCCTGGTCTGCCCCTAGTTCCAGCTTTCATGCTTGCCAGCATGAGCAGTGGCCCAGCATTGGAGTCTCCATTACCCCTCTACCAGGCTCACCCCCACCCTGCCCCGGTTTCGTGTGTGCTGGCAGGGGCTGCAGCACAGTCTGGTGTGGCCTGTCTTCACTTTGGCATTTGCTGGCAGGTGCTGTGGCCAGACCCAGCCTGTCCTGCACCCCATCCTGGTTCTAAGATCTGCCAGTGGGTATTATGAATTGGCCCAGCCTGGCATGCCCCCATACCTGAGCCACATGTAGGCTGGCAGGTGTTGTAACCTGGTCTTCTCTGGGGTGCTCCCTGCTTCGATTGTAGCGCTCACCTGCAGGGACTGCACCCTGACAAAGGAGTTCCCTAAGCTCATTTATTGGGGTCTTCTCTCAGTGGCAGATCTTGTGCACACAGGTGGGTCTTTGGCCTGGGCTGACTTAGTCCACCTCCTGTCCTGGCAGAAACAGTAACCTTGCCTAACTGGCTCATACCCAACCTGGTTCTTACTGTTGGGTGTTACAGTTCAGCCACACTTAGTCCACACCTTGGCACAGCTCTCATGTGGCCCAGTGGTAGCGGAAACCTAGCCCAGCCTGTCCTACACCCATTCTGGCTCAAATGAGCACCAGTGGATGCTGCAGTCTACTCCAGTCTGGTGTGTCCCAGACCCTGTCCATGTCCATGCCGAGGGACAATGAAGCAACATCCGGACTACCTCCCCCATTCTGGTTCTTGCTCTCACTGGTGGGAACCACAACCTAACCAGGGCATTTCCTCTTAGCTCCCCAACCAGACCTGTTCCCAGCCCCAGATCTTGTGCATGCCAGTGGTTGTTCTGACCAAGCACTGCATGCTCTGTCTTGACCTTTGCCATCACATGCTGCATCCTGGCCTGACCCGGCCTATCCCCAGTCCCAACTCTCACTGGCGAGTGTTACATCCTGGCCCTGCTCAGTCCACTCCCATCCCTGACTCATGCAAACCAGCAGGTGTGTTGGCCTAGCCTGGCATGCTCTGCATTCCAGCCTGGCTCCTGCACTTGCCAGTGAGCTAAGGTTGGCCTGGCTCTGTCTGGTCTACCCTCTTCCCAAACCTCTACACACACATGCGGACAGGTGGAGCTACCCTGCCTGGTCTGACCTGTACTCAGGCCTGAATCAGACCAGTGAATCTCACCAGTGGGAGCAACAGCCCATCAAGGGAGTTTCTCTAGTTCCCTCACCAGACCCACTCCCAGACCCAGATCTTGTCCATGTCAGTGAGTGCTAGGTCCATACTTGTCATAGGCTACCCGCTCTGTCCTGCATATCTGTGAGTGCTTTTTCTTTCATGCTATTTTTCTTTAAGAAATATCTGTGTGAGCATGTTACAGAAATTAAATGACATAGTTAATGTCTCTCTCTCTTTTTTTTCCTAAAGTTCGTTGAGTCCCAGTTGCAGCTGTAATTGGTTTTATTCAGGGTTAGATTTTTTTTTTTTTAAATATTTATTTTACTTACCTAAGCCAGAGTTACAGAGAATGGGTGAGACACAGAGAGATCTTCCATCTGCTAGTTCACTCTCCAGATGGCCACAACAGCTGGATCTAGGTCATGCTGAAGTCAGGGCCAGGAGCTGCTTCTGGTCTCCCCATGTGGGTGCAGGGACCAAAGCAGTTGGGTCATTTTCTGCCCCTTTCCCAGGGACATTAACGGGGAGCTGGAGCAGGAGTGGAGGAGCGGTGACTTGAACTGCCTGCTATGCCTGTGTGGTATACTGATTGCCACAGCATCAGCCCTGAAAAGCCTTGTGTTTGCAAGTTATTGATTACAGTGGTTAACAATGGAGTATTCCTGCCTGGGTTTGTTTTATAACTTGTCATCTTATCTGTAAAATGGGGTTACTATTACCTCATAGGGTTGCTGTAAAAATGTAATGAGTTAATTCAAGCAAGTGGTAAGTAAATTCTTAGCTATTGGTATAGGTATTTACTTAGATTCATTGTTATGGCAAATTTAGAAATACATTAAAAAAGAAAATTCTCTTTCATAATATTTCAGAAATACAGATAATTTAAAGCCAACACAATCTTTAGTCTGGTAAAAATTCTTTTGGTATCATAGAAGTTCACATGTCAGGGGCTGGCGGCAATGGCTCAACTGACTAATCCTTTGCCTGTAAGTGCTGACATACCATATGGGAGCCAGTTTGTGTCCTAGCTGCTCCATTATATATATAAAAAAATATTTTTCATGATACAGTTCCATAAGCTTAGTGATTTCCCATTCCACCCTCCCCATTGCTCCACTTCTGAGCCAACTCTCTGCTTATGGCCTAGTAAAGCAGTGGAGGATGGTGCAAAACCTTGGTACCCTGCACCTGCATGGGAGACCTGGAAGAAGCTCCTGGCTTCAGATCAGCTCAGCTCTGACTGTTGTGGCCATTTGGGGAGTGAATCAATAAATGGAAGCTCTTCATCACTGTCTCTCTTCTCTGTATACCTGATTTTCCCGAAAGAAATAAAAAATAAATCTTTTAAAAACAAGATGACAGAAATGAAATGTAGAAGTCTGAACAGTTATGATAAAAGTATTCTAGGCAGCTGTATGATGAATTCCTGAAGGCAAATGTAGGAGACCCTTGAAGTACTGCACTTAAGTGTTACTCAGATGAACACTGTGCTACTCCAGATGGGGTTGACCAATTATATTATCTCCTTACATCCTTTCTTTAGGTGGCCTCATCACTTTCATTAACCTTTAATCCTTTCTAGGTGCTGATTAACTTGTCTTTATCTTTCTAGCTCAGACCTTTCCTCTGATCTCCAGACTTAGAGATTGAATTTCCTGTTTTACGTCTCTTGGAAGTCCACAGATTTTTTTTTTAATTTGAATTTTATGATACAATTCCATAGAGTGAAATCCACAGATATTTTAAACTCCAGGTATTTAAGATAGTACCTGCTTCTCCCATTCCTCCCCATGGAGCCAGTCCTTGCTGGAGTCTTCTGTGTCGGTAATGACCACCGCCCAATGAGGACCACCACTGAAGCCTGTGGCTGGGGACTGTCTTTTCCTCCTCTTCCTGTCCCATCACCTGCCTTCCATCCAGCAGTGACTCCTGTCAGTTGTACCTCTAAGTTAGGCCTCCTGTACTTCCTCTGGCCTTGATCTTTAGTTACCGGGGTGCTGCCTGGTACCTGCATGCCAGGAGCTATGATAACCTGCTTCTGGTCTTGAGGCCAGTGGCTGGGCTGATTTGTCCTACAGAAAACACACATGGCAGTCCCTGA